TATCTGGAATACAGCAAAAAAGTGTATTCATAACGATCAACATAAGACGATAACTAATAATAACAATAAAGAATAGAAGATAAACCCTCTTTCCCATTGGATGTTTTCTATCATCACCTGAGATATCATATTACAGAAAAAATATACACTGGATTCTGAACATTTTCATATTCCGAGATTTCAACACAAACTGATAATTGATAACAAACGACTATATTTTATCTAAGAATGAATATTCAATTGTACGCCTATCGGCTGTGTTGTTGTCCCCTATCCATTCCAAATAAATACCAGATTTGAAAGCGCCCCCTCTCCGTCCCTCAGGGGAAACCTGGATGTTTTTACAGTCTTATCTGACCCATAAAGGTAGTGAACACTGATACTATAACAACATCTGTACTGCACACATTATTATAAGTTGTAGTCTTTCGAGGTTTGCAAAAAATCCTGTAAGACGCTAAGCCTAGTTAATTTGTCATGGTTTGTTAGCTTGATAGATGACGTACAACTAGAAAATAAACCACGCCCTCTATTGGTATAAAGTTTTGGTAGTTGAAATATAAAGTACAGTTATACACATATTTCATGAATGTTAGCAAGTGAATGTTCAGTGAGAAAGTGTAGTCGTATTTAGTGCTTGATAATCATAACGATTTCTGGAATAATCAACAGTATTTGAACCTGACGATTTACAACAACAGGTAAGCTTGCCTTTTGTCTTTAATTACTATCCGTTAGAAGTAAATATTAATCTTAAACGTCTAACTGATTTCGTTAATTTTGAGTAACTCAAACTTCCTGGAAACCTAACTCTAACGAAGCAGAAATTTCATATTTTATACTAACGCGTTTACACCACTACGTTTTAAATACAAATTCAAATATTCCCAGAAAACTGCGGAATTTAGATATCAGCTTTTTTGTTAAACTTTCTACTCCAGTGAAAGTGTCTTCAAGATTGTACCAACGAAGCGGATAATTGGCTTAAGTTGTAATAATATACAATCTTAGATTCCATGCTAAAAGTATGAAAAATCCAATCGATGGAGATTTACCTGACATTTTATATTTGATCTCGTATTGGTGGAATATCCATACAGGTGTTCACGATTATAAAGTTTAGATCTTAGAGCGTCACACAACACACAATAACTGTGGGACATGATGTAACACACCATGGCTGTAGCTAGATGTGTTCTTCGTCATGAAATAATTCAAAGTAGCGTCCGTTAAAACGTTTGTAATGTGTATAAACATTTTGTTTTCTATATGTTAGCTAACATTAGTCATTTTATCCAAAAATACCATCTTATTGTTGGGATGATCCATTGTGTTAGCATTCAGATGTGGCTTGCTCGGTTATCGTGATCTTTGGCAACTGTACGCTCTGACGGTGTACAAGGGCTATTTTGCCTTAGAATGTTTGCCCGATAACGACACCCTAAAATAGGGCACATTTACAATTTTGTGTTGATCACTAGCTTTGAATTGAAAGACATAAGCATTTGATCAGTTAAATGCACGAATTATTAACTTTCATAAAGCAGGGATGCAATTAGCATCTAATGAGGTCGTTAAGGATTTAATAACAAAAGACAGAAGGAGGAGGAACGTTATCTAACATTGTCTTTTATGCTATTTTAGATA